TGAAAACAATAGAAAAACTAAAGAAAAAAAAACATCTTTTTAAGTAAAAAAAGAAAACCACAGAAATGCCTTGCTTCCCACTCAACTTGTTTCCTGAGTCCTAATAGTGAGAGTCTGGGTAGCAAGGGATATCTGTTTGCTCTTCTTGTCACTGATCTTAATATGTCAGTCAGGAGATGAGCTTGCTCTGAGTGTTTCTAAACCAGGCTGCTATGGAACACCAGGGTGTTCTACCACCAAAACGAATTATGGCTTTTTTTTTTCCCTCCCCCCTTAAAGATTAATATGCAAATATTTCTCAATTTTAAGATTTTTTTTCTCCCGTTACATTCTGGCTCTTGATGAACTCAACTAGAAACTAACAAGCAATAGCATCTATTTAAGTAGAAACCAACACCTGCTATTATTTTTTAAGTTGAAGGTGTCTGAGTTTGACAGTGTTCCTTAAATAGCAACATGGGAGACCATTGCAAACCGTGGGTTTATGCCAGCCCCAGCAGAGCAGGGGCAATTGAGACCCAGAGATGGAGAGTCATTCACTTGGTGGAAGGACTGGGATCCACAGGCTGGGAGGGCCTTCGGTCCCCTACCCCCAGTCAGTCTGTTTTCCTTCCCTCCTGTCCATCCAGGTCCCAGCCGTCGATTCAAGCGAGTGGTGGAGACAATCCAGGCACAGCTGCTGAGTACTCATGACCAGCCTTCCGTGCAGGCCCTGGCAGGTGGGTGGTAGGGAGATGTCAGGGTGACCAGGTGCTCCGGGGGTTTGGTTGGCAGATGAGGTTTCCACTGTGGAGAAGGCAGGCCTACATGTTGGGCTCCTTTGCCATTGTCTCACTGAGGCTACAGTGTTGTGAGCAGGTTCCCTGAGAGGCGGAGGCCTGATACCGGCCTCCAGGGGTCCCTAAAAAGATGACAGTCTTTGTGTTAGGGATAGTGAACATCCTGCCAAAAGAGGATCTGGACCTCCGTTCTAGAGGAGAGTGTCTAATCATCCCAGTTTGCCTGGGACTGAGGGGACTTTCAAAGCTAAAACCTGGATGGTTCCAGGCAAACCAGGACAAGTTGGTCACCCTCTTTGCAGGACTCAGGCTTCTCTGGTGTTCAAGGACTTGAGCCTCACCTGGCCCTGTTTCTAAGGCCTAATGGTCCCTAGCAACCAGGGTTGTAAGCTCAGTTTACAGGGAGCCTGCAAGATCTGTGAACTCCAGGAGATCAGCCTTCCCTGGTCTCACCAGCCCCAATTATCAGGAAGTAGAGTTCCCTAGCAACCTGGGAACAGAGGAGAGGCCAGGCCTCAGTAAATGTCTTAGTCTGTTATGGTTGCTATAAGAAAATACGATAGGGCCGGCCTGGTGGCGCACTGGAGAGTGCGCCGCTTGGGAGCGTGGTGGCGCTCCCGCCGAGGGTTCGGATCCCATGTGGAGACCGGTTCCTGCTCACTGGCTGAGCGCGGTGCGGGCGCAACACCGAGGGTTGCAATCCCGTTACTGGTCAGTAAAAAAGACAAAAAGGAAAAAAAAAGAAAAAAAGAAAATACCATAAATCAGGTGGCTTGTAAACAACAGAAATTTATTGCTGAGAGTCTGGGGGCTGGGAAATCCAAGATCAAGGCACCAGCAGATTCGTTATATGGTGAAAGCCCATTTCCTGGTTCATAGATGGCACCTTTTTGCTGTATCCTCACATGGTGGAAGGAGCGAGGGAGCTCTCTGGAGTTTCTTTTATAAGGGCACTAATCCTAATCATGAGGGCTCCATCCTCGTGAACTAATCACTTCCCAAGGGCCTGACCTCCTAATACTATCATCTTGTGGGTTATGATTTCAGTGAATGAATTCTGGGGATACTCAAGCATTTGAACAATAGCATAAGCACTGCCCTAGCAACCACTGATAACCAGAATCCTAAATAAAGACAGTGCCTGTTCAGGAAAACAGGCCTGTTCCTGAGACACGGTGGCCCTTCCCCTAAGATCAGAGATTCCTTAAGACTCAGTGAATGAGGGTGCTGGGCCCCACTGAAGAGAAGTCCAGCTGCATCATCTTGGTAGGGCTTACTGCCTTTTCCCAGGCCTCTTTGACTACCTTCTCCCCTGTGAAAGGGAGCATGTGAAGGGACCCAGCAATGAAGTCAGGAGCCAGGGTGGCTTTGTCACTAGGAAGTGCTGAGTCCAGGTTCAGGTCTTTGCTTTGGAGCAGTGATTCTCAACTGATGAGGGGCCAATTTTGCCCCTGTATTAGTTTCCCATGGCCACTGTTAACAAATGACAACAAACTTGGTGGCTGAAACAATACAAATTTACTATCTTACAATCCTGGAGGTCAGAAGTCTGACACAGGTCTCACTGGGCTAATGTCAAGGTACCCGGAGGGCTGCACTCCCTCCTGGAGGCTCTAGGGATAAATCTTTTCCTTGCTTTGTCTAGCTCCTAGAGACCATCCACATTCCTTAGCCACAGCCCCTTGCTCTTCAAAGCCAGCAACTCTGCATCTAACTCCCTGACTTTAGCTGGGAAAGGTTCTTTTAAGGACTAAATTGGACCTACCCGGATAATTCAAGATAATCTCCTCACCTTAGGTCCTTAACCTCAATCATAACACAAGATCTCTTCTGCACTGTAAGGTTCTCAGGTTCTCAGCATTAGGATGTGGACATTTTTGGGTTTTTTTTTTGTTTGTTTGTTTGTTTTTAATGAAAAATTTTTACTACTATTCAGGTTGTATATATTTTAAAACCAATTAGAAAGTCAAAGATAGAACTTTTTATGCTTAAAATTACTAGAAATTACTGACATTAATTTTAAATTTCAAGAGTACATATATATAATTTAAAATTTTTTTTTTTTTTTTTTTACACTGAGTACTACAAACATAGGTTTTATTTAGGATGTGGACATTTTTGGAGGAGGCCATTTAGTCAGCCTACCACAGCTCCCCAGGGGACATCTAGCAATGTATGGAGACATTTTTGGTTGTCTCAATTGGGGGGAGAGGGGGATGCTACTGCATTTTGTGGATGGAGGCCAGGGATGTTGCAAAACATCCTACAATGCACAGGACAGCCCCCAACAACAAAGGATTATCCGGGCCCCAAATTTCAATAATGCTTGGGTGGAGAAACCCTCTTCTCCCTTATGGTTGCTAGAGATAACCAGAAAGTGAATTAGATCCACTGGACCACTTTCCTTGCTAAGGAAATTGACCTTAGCAAACAGGAATCCCAAAAGGATACACCCTCAAAGATGTAGGACCAACAGGCATCTGGGGCCTTGGCTACCTGTCTTATAGAGAATGGAGTGGAGGGGGCCGACCTTGGAGTCTGCCCTGGAAGAAGAGAGCCTTATTTGTTGCTATAGCAGTGACCTTCCCCCCAGCCCCTCAGCATTCATCACCTCTTAATGGGGCTGAATCTCTGCCAGTGGACCTCAGGTAATGTTTCAGGCCCCATGGAAACTGCTAGAAGACTGGATGACAACCAGTGTTTCCACCATAGTCCCTGAGTGGTGTCAGTACGGAGGAAGTCAGGCTCCACAAAAGGGTGACCAGAGTCAGGCAGACCCAATCAGGAGGACCTGAGACCCCCAAACAACATTCAGAAAGCTCCCTTGGGCCCTACTGCCATGGGACATTTTCCCCTAACCAGGGCAGCAGAAGAGAAGAGGGGGCCCTCTTGCTATGAACCTTGTGTTGCTCCAACAAGCTGTCCCTTGACAAATAGTATCATAACCGGAATCTCTGAGAATCTCTCCTGAAGTCGGGTCAGGCTGAGGTCTCACTTACATTAACTTGGCCCTGTTTCCACAGCTACAGGGCTGCAGGGGGCCTAGGGTACAGCCCCCATTGTTCTAGGGGAGCCATTCCTTGTTGGTAGGGCGTGTGTCCCCCTAGCAACTGCCTTTGAAGGCTTCAAACCCCTTTGACGGGAAATTTGGCCTCACTGGAGGCCTTGGGGTTACTGAGACCAATGGATGAGACAATGCCCCATCCCAACATGGGAACCTTAACCCTGAGCTCTGCAGTCCTGGAATCCACACAAAACCTTTTCCTCTCTCACAGATGAGAAGAATGGGGTCCAGACCCGGCCTGCTGGTACCCCACCCCGAAGCCTACAGCCCCCACCTGGCCGCCCAGACCCAGAGTTGAGCAGCTCTCCCCGCCGAGGCCCCCCCAAGGACAAGAAGCTCCTGGCCACCAATGGGACCCCTTTGCCCTGACCCCAGGGGGCCGGGGAAGGAGGGGAGGGAGCCCCCCCACCCCCCTTCCCTGCCCCCCCAACTGTGAATCTGTAAATAAGGCCCAAGGAGTATGTTGGGAGGGGGGAGGACAAAAAACCGGCCTTGCCCTGCAGGGATAGGGCTCCAGAGGCCGTGCCCAATTGGGGGATGGTTCTAGGGGGATGTGGGGGTGGGGGAGCTGTTTCTATTTTATTTATTGATTAATTTATTATTTTATTTATTGATCAATCTCTCCGCAGGGTGGGGTGGGGGAGGGATGGGAGCTGGTTGGGGTGGCTTAGCAGATCCGGACAGGGCCCTCTGTCCCTGTGTCATCCCCAACTTCCTCTTCCTGGGCCCCTCCTCTCCAGGTACTTTCCCCTCCCCCACAACCTTCTGTACGGATTTGCTCTCCGGAAGGAATTCTGGTTTCGCGTGATCCTGCCTGCGTCCGTGTCTCTGATTCCACCGGCAGCCAAAAAAAAAAAACAAAGCATAAAAATAATAATAAATAGCCTTGATCAGGGATGGCTGGCTGGCCTTGGCCTCTCTTCCTGGGTGCTCCTGACGGCAGGGACAGGTGGGCACAAAAAATGTTGGCTCTGACCAGTTGTTCAAAGTCCCCACATACATGTCCACTCTATGCTCCAGGACAAGAATGGTCAGCTGCATCCCCACCTCGCAGCCAATTGGAGAGATCCCCAGTGGTTCATCTTGGCAGAGGTGGGGGGAATTGGTCTCATCTTTCTTCCTCCACTGTGAGGGCAAGGCCTAGGTCAAAGCATTTGCTACAGCCTGACCTGCAGGGAGACAGGGGAAGCTGGCTGGGGGCTGAGACTGGGCCCTGGTGGGGGGCCTCGGCTGGGCCTCGACTGAAGACACAGGGTGCAGCCATCTAGGCCAGAGAAGTCAATGGCAAAGAGGCCGAAAAGCGTGAACAGCAGCATGGCAACAGCCCACTCGCAGAGGGCAGAGGCAGAGCGCAGCTGCTGGACGTTGAGGACATTCACTTTACACGAGCGTCAAGGGTCACAGCACTACCACCAAGGACCTGGAAGCCCAGCTTGGTTGCTGTGTGAGTGGAGGATGTGTCTGGGTATCTTCTCATGAGGTGCTTGCCCTACCGAGGCTTGAACGACACGCCCCCAGCTGGCCACCATCCTTAGCCTTCGTCTGCTCGCATTCTCTCACACAGATCCTAGCCTTCGTCATAGATGTTCTCCAGTCCCTATCTCTATCTCAAGCTGCTTCCAGATGTTTTCCCTTGCATGTACTTCCCATTAGTATTGCAGTCCCAATATCCCAAAATAACTTATCTTTCCATTGATCTTCCCTGACCCAATGAAGGTTCTGCCATTTCCCTTCTTCTTGGGGCCTGATACCTAGCTGCCATTGCCACTAACTCCAAATAGGTGGGGTTTCCTAAAGACAACCCCCATGTGAACCTGGTCAGCCTCAGGCTGTGTTTGATTCTTTCTCCTGAACGTCCCTCCCCCTTCCCAAGGCCCACAGGCCCCTCCTGCTCACTCCCAAACAATCTAATCTCATCTCCCTAAAATCTGTTCCTCATTCTGGGTGTCCCCATGACAACTCCACCATCTACTCCTGCACCCAAGCAGATACTTGGGACTCCCTCTTGCCCCCTCCCTCCTCCTCATCCCCCACAGCCAGCTTGTCACCCCAAGTCGTCCTGTCTGCCTTACCCATCTCTCTCTGGACCCCCTCATCTGGTCTTGCATCTCTCTGGTACTGGTTAGCCCCATCCCTTCTCTGGCTCCCCAGTCCCAGCTCCTTATGACCTTTTTCTACACTGCCAGCCGACACATTCTCCAAGCTCCAGCCTAGCAGAGACATCTCTTATTTAGTGTGACCTCTCTCATGGGGCCACCACCACTACCCTCATCCCCCCCCCTTCTTTTTCCCCTCTCCATTCTCCTCCCATCCTGAATCAGCTTAGATACTATTTCACTCATTCAAGGATATCTAAGCTCATTATGCCAGGCAATGGGATACATGAATAAGGCCAACACCATCCCTGGCCCCATGGGTGGGCCTTACAGCAAGAGAGAGGCATGAGCCCCCAAACACAAACCGCTTACCCTCCGAACTAACCCAGTTCTTCCCCTGCTCAGGAGCTTTCTATGACACCCTATTGCCCCCAGGCAGAAGCCCAAGCCTCTGACTCCTCATCTTAGAGATACTCAGCTTTAGCCCTGCCAGCAGTCTCGTTTCCTCCCAGCAGCTGGTTTTTCTACCCTCTGCATACACCTGCAATATTGCCCCCCAATCTCCCAACCCCAGCCAAAAGTAGCTCATTCTATAAGACCATTCTCAGATTCTGGCCAGGTCGCAGACCCATCTTTGCAGACTTCCAGCCCTTATCACACTGACCTGGCTGTCTTCATGGCCCCATCCCTGCCCCACCCACCCATCCCCAGCCAAGGGACAACTGAGAACAAGGACCCTGCAGACAAAGTGATTATCAGTCCAGTGTCTGAATAACCAGCTCTGGATGGTAGCCTTCGCCAATCACTGTGGTGTAAATACTCCCACCATGACCTTTCAAGATGGTAACACAACTGCTGAATGTGGAGTTATGAAGAGATGTTCACGAACTGCTCCTGTGAGCGCACAAGCCACCTGCAGCCCACCACTACCTCCACTGAAGAACTTCATGGTGGGTCTTGGCCAACATTCTTTCCCTGTCTTTTTTACCTTTTTTTTTTTTTTTTTCAGCTGGCCAGTATGGGGATCTGAACCCCTGACCTTGGTGTTATAACACTGCACTCTAACCAGCTGAGCTAACTGGCCAGCCCCCACCCTCTCACACATATGAACCTGTTTTTACTCTTACCAGCATGAAGCTTGGCACAGAGTGGGTGCTCCAAATGGACTGTTATTAGAATATCATTCTGCTAACATATTTATTGGTCTCTCACTATGTGCCAGGCACAGATCTAAGCACCTCAAGTATATTATCCAGTTTACTCCTCCCCTGTTATTTTCCACATTTCATAAATGAGGAAAATGAGGCACATAGAAGTTAAGAAAACAGCAGATTTTCCAAGCTAGTATGTGGAGGAGATGGGATCCCAACCCAGGCAACACAACCCCAAAGTCAGCACTCTGGATTAGGAAGCTATAATCCCATGTGGCGACTGTGAGGCCCAGAAAAATTAAGGGACATCCATGGTGTCACATAGCAAGGGCATAGGAGACCGACCCCAATGAAGAACTGCTCCTAACCCCTGCCCTGAGCCCCAGTAAGGATACTGGCCACAATCAGGATGGTACAGAGGCAGCAGAGGCCCAGGCGGAGTGGCCAGACCCAAGGGCCTCCAGGCTGGGGCAGGCTCTTCATCCGCCAGAAGAGGAGGAGCTGTAACCAGAAGTAGACGTTGCCCATGATGAAAGCGAGGAAGGACCCTGTTAGGTGCACATGATGCTGGTTGGTTTCCTGAGAGAAAGGAGAAGAGTTGAGAGGGAGACTGGGAGGGTAAGGGGCACCGTGGGGGAAGGAGGCCCTTGAATAACAATAGATTGTGACTGAAAACTGCCATATGTTGGGGTCTAGCTTTACTGTAGCTTAAAAAAAAGAAAACTGCCATATGTAGCCGTCAGCTTTTTGATTAGGCACATGGATTATTGTTAGCTGCACAAGGGCAGGCATTTAAATCTGTTGATCACTGCTGTAGTCTTAATCCCTAGAACACTGATTGGGACATGGTAGATGCTGAGTAAATATGAGTGGGATAAATGTTGCCTTCTCAAAGGGGGGATGAATATTGCCCCCAAAGGATAAAAATTAGTTCTATGAGTGGCGGTAAAAAAAAAAAATCTTGGATATTGCAACGGTTTGTGGTTTATAGGTATATAGTATATATTATGTAATGTTTTTAAAATGTTAAACATTTCATGAGGGGAGAGGGCAATTTGGGGAAAATGTCTAAAAAGACTCCTTAAGAGAACAGAACTATGATTTCCAGAGGTGGGCAAGGAAGAGCGGGAGGGAGGTAAGGGAGTAATTGCGTAAGGGACACAAAGAATAGTTACAATTTGGGGCCGGCCCGTGGCTCACTCGGTAGAGTGCGGTGCTGATAACACCAAGGCCCTGGGTTCGGATCCCATATAGGGATGGCCGGTTCGCTCACTGGCTGAGCGTGGTGCTGACAACACCAAGTCAAGGGTTAAGATCCCCTTACCGGTCATCTTTTAAAAAAAAAAAAAAAGAATAGTTACAATTTGTAATGATGAACATGCTAATAATACTGATTTGATCACTACATATCATACACACATACTGATAGTCAACTCTGTACCCCATAAATATGTATAATCAATTATGTTTCAATTAAAAATTTTTGAAAAGAAAAAAAATTTTCTGGATGAATAATAAAATTAAATAAATAAATAAAAAGACTCCTTAAAGGAGCAACATAACAATAGCAATGATAATAAATGGTTGAGGAACACAGGACTAGATGAATAAGTGACCGAATTGCTATGCCAATTAGATGGGGAATTCTTATAAACAAATTGGAGTCAGCCTCTTGTGGTCTCCCCCCAACTTCCATTCTTTCAGCAAGAGAGGTTGGGCATAAAAGTAAAATAAAACAATATAAAATAAACCAATAAGATGTTTCCTATAATGTGTTGATTCATTTATTCTACAAATATCTACAGAACTTCATGGTTAAGAATGTGGATCCTAGGGCCGGCCCGTGGCTCACTCGGTAGAGTGCGGTGCTGAAAAAACACCGAGGCCACGGGTTCAGATCCCTATCTAGGGATGGCCGGTTTGCTCACTGGCTGAGCGTGGTGCTGACAACACCAAGTCAAGGGTTGAGATCCCCTTACTGGTCATCGTAAAAAAAAAAAAAAAAAGAATGTGGATCCTAGGGCCGGCCCGTGGCTCACTCGGGAGAGGGCGGGGCTGAAAAAACACCGAGGCCACGGGTTCAGCTCCCTATCTAGGGATGGCCGGTTTGCTCACTGGCTGAGCGTGGTGCTGACAACACCAAGTCAAGGGTTGAGATCCCCTTACTGGTCATCGTAAAAAAAAAAAAAAAAAAAAAAAAGAATGTGGATCCTAGAGTCTATGAGTCTGGGTTCATTTCTGATCACCAAGGACCAACTGATTAAAAAAACCTTTTCTGTGCATATGGCCAATAAGGACCTTCCTAGGGTTCTTGTGGAGGTGGTTTAAAATAATGTACACAGGGGCTGGCCGGTTAGATCAGTTGGTTAGAGCATGGTGTGGATAACACCGAGGATTCGATCCCTGTACCGGCAGCCACTAAAAAGGAAAAAGAAAAAAAGAAATAATGTACACAATTGTAAAGCCTCGAGCCTCCTCCAGAGTGAATGAACGGTCAATCAATGTGTCAGACACTGCCAAACTCTAAGAATGAACGAATCTCAGTCATTTCATCATTAAATATGATGGGGAAAGGGGATGGCAGAAAACTGTCTCAACCGCCTGGGTTCAACGAAGTTATGTATACAAAGAACCTCGCCCCGACGCTCGATTCAGAGAGCAAGAGAATTCACCACCTTCGCGGCCCACTATCCACCAGAAAAATACAAGTCCCAGGAGGCCGTGCGGGAACGAGCCCCCGAAATGAGAAACCAGGGGTCGCGAGGATGCTGGGAGTTGTAGTCCCAGGCTCCAGCGGCCAGAACCCCGGGGTGGGCTCTGGGAGCCTACTCAGTCTCACCTGGAAATTGCCTACCACGGAGGTGCCCAGCGCACAGAGGAGCCCCGTCCACAGGATCAGCTGGTTAGGCCACTTTCCGACCCCCCAGTCCCGGAGCTGGTGGTAACGTACAATGCAGATCCAGGCAGCTGGGAGGAGAGGGAAGTGGGCGGGAGATCTGGGTCCCGGGACTCTTAGGTACCCAGCAAACGGAGCCGGGTGGTGAGAGATGGGGGCTCTGGGGATGAGGGCCAAGCTCCCGGATTTCGGGGAAGGAGGAGGCTTGGGGCGCTAGACTCCTGGGTCTGAGAGAGGAGGGGCTCATTTGGCTGGGTTGGACTAACACTGGATGAAAAGGGCTCGGGAATATTTACCCATAGCAGCTCCCACATTGAGCAACTGACTGAAGATGCAGCTCTGAGGGGGGTAAGATCCGCAGACACTGGGAAAGATAAAGGGGTCATCCTGTGGTTCCTCAAAGACAAGGTCCTCCACTTTACACTCTCAGGACCCCACAGTGCCATAACTACCTGATGTAGGGGAAGCCTTCGGTGAGATTCACAGTCCTGTTGGCCACGGAAATTGCAAAACTAAGGTGGGGGGAACACATAAAAGTGAGTAAGAGCCTTTCAATGACAAATTTCCCTTCTATTAAACAAACAAACCTGGACTTCTAGCCCCCTCCTCCTTCAGACCCAGGAGTCCTGACTGCAGCCACTCCTCCCTCAGACCAGCGAGTCCAGGCCCCCAGCGCCTCTTCGCTCAGATCCAGGCATCCATCCTGCCTATCATACTTACACAGTCCAGACTCCGGCAACAGCCCAGAGGGTCAGGAATACAGGCAGCAGGGATAGATAGCCCCACATGCTGGGATCTGCAGGGGAAGGAGAAGGGCTGGAGCTGGGGCCAGGAATCTCTCTCTCTCTCTCCCTCCTTCCTCTCCTCTCTTTCCTTCTCTCCTTCTCTCTTCTCCTTCCTTTTCTCTTTTTCCTTCTCTCCTCTCCTTCCTTTTTTTCCTTCTCTCAATCTCCAGGTGAAGAACCAGCACTCAGGGAGTGTCCAGGTGCATGGAATTGTGGCCGCCTTCCTCGGAGGCTTCCATTGGCTCCCAGACAGAAGTTATGGGACAGGGTCTGATCTGGCCAGGCCAGCCCTCACCCGGGGGCATATTCCCTATCTTTTACATAGTGTTTCAGTCCTAAACTCCCACTTTCTCATGGTTTTGCCATTTTTTCCTACCTTCCCAGCCCCTCCCCTTCACCTCCTAGCCTCCAGGGCTCTCTCTGGCCACTCACTTCTTCAAGCTCCCTGGGACTCTCCCAGTCCTGGGAATGGGGCTGGGAGAGAGCCTAAGGGAAGAAGGGCTGGGATGTGGGGTGGGGCTCTTGCAGAGCAGGTCAAAGTTTCCCCAGAGGCAAAGTTCAGGCTGGGGCATTGAACGATAGGTTAAGGCCTTTGTTCTGACTGCCACTTTCTAGGGGACCTCACCCCCAAACTGCCACTTCCTGTCTCCTCAGAACCTAGCAGACAGCACCTTAGTTTCAGGGGGCCCCTAACTTCCTTCTTGCAGCTTTGTGGGTTCAACATCCAAACTCTCAGGACCCAGAAATCTAAGCTTCCAGCTCTCTCCACCCTTCTTCCCTTGAAGACCCAGGAGTCCAGGACCCCAGTCCCTTCTAGAATACAAGCATTCATTTCTATCCCCCCAGCAGTTTTACCTGTCAGCTCTTACCTACTCAGGGACCTGAGAATCCAGGCCCTCAGGTCTTCCTGCTTTCTGCGTACAGTTTCTTTCCTAGGGCTGCTGAATGTAGGGCCCTGGTGACTCTGCCTCCTCCTTTCCAATTGCCTTCTCCTCTCCCTTCCTCTCTATCATGCCAGAGTTCCCCAAGCAGGCTGGGCATGGGTGGGCAGGGAGATCTTGGTGATGACATACCCATCAGAAAATTGTCTCTCCAAAGAGCAACTACTTCCTCTGCCCTGACCATATTCCTTCTCTTTCCCACAAGTCAAATCTCAACTTTCTGGCCTTCTTCCCCCTTGGCACCAGGATGTTTTGGTCACAGTCACTTCCTTCTGTCCAGGACCCAGGAGACCAGGCCAATTTCCTCCTCCCTCCTCAACTCCAAAAGTTCAATCCTCTAGGCCCTCGTCCTTCTCTAGGATCCCCAAGTTCGGGCCCCCACACCTTTCCCCTTAGACCCAGAAGTTCCAATCACCTCCCCCCTCACTACTCCACCTCTTCTTTTTAATTGAGGTAAAATTTACATAACATAAAACTGACCATTTGAAAGTGTACAATTCAGTGACATTTAGTACATTCACAATGTGTGCCACCACCACCTCTACCTAGTTCCAGAAATTTTTTATCTGCCCAAAAGGAGACCTCATACCTATTAAGCAATCATTCCCCATTCCCCTCTTACTCCTAGCCCTTGGCAATCATTAAACTGCTTTTTGTCTCTATGGATCTGCCTATTCTGGACATTTCATATAAGTGGAATCATATGACATATAGTCTTTTGTGTCTGCCTTTTTTTGCTTAGCATAATGTTTTTGAGGCTCATCCATGTTGTAGCATGTGTCAGTGCTTCATTCCTTTACATGGCTAAATAATATTTCATTGACTTCGCCTCTTTTGGGACTCAAGAATCTAAGGCCCTATGTACTGAGGATTTCCAGTGCCCCAGCAACTAGGAATTTAGGCTCCCAGCTTCTTCAAGTGTAAAGGTGAGAGGAAATAGAAACAGACAGACACCACAAATATGTGAGACCAGAGACCCAGTGATTGATCAAGAATGAGATCTCACCCTGCCCCCTGCTGGTCCCCAGGCTGGGGGTGCAGAGACACATGGATTCCAACAATTAGAATACAAGGTGCTCCTGTACCAGCCAGCTGCCAAAACAAAAACAAACAAACAAACAAGAATATAAAATGTTATAATGGAGGTAGCACAGGGTATGGTTCCCCCCTCCCTCAAGAAGAGGAAATTTCTTTTTTAAAAAAAAAAAAAAGATGACCGGTAAGGGGATCTTAACCCTTGACTTGGTGTTGTCAGCACCACGCTCACCCAGTGAGCACACCGGCCATCCCTATATGGGATCTGAACCCGTGGCCTTGGTGTTATCAGTACCGCACTCTCCCGAGTGAGCCACGGGCCGGCCCAAGAAGAGGAAGTTTCTAACTGGCGATGGTGGCTAGTGCGTGTTTGGCTGGGGAATGGGGAAGGTCAGGAAAATCTCATGGATTCAAAGTCACACTCAGAGGCCAGCCCGTGGCTCACTTGGTAGAGTGCAGTGCTGATAACACCAAGGCCACGGGTTCGGATCCTATATAGGGATGGCCGGTTTGCTCACTGGCTGAGCGTGGTGCTGACAACACCAAGCGAACGGTTGAGATCCCCTTACCGGTCATCTTTAAAAAAAAAAAAAAACAAAGTCACACTCAGAAGGAGGATGTGTTAAGAGTTTGCAAGTTCCAGGAAGGCATTCTGGGTAGAGCTCAGGTGGTCCCTGAACCTTGGCCAGTGAAAGTCGAGTGTCTTTGACCCCGGGGTTACAGAGTGTGTCACCCACTATGAGGATGAGTCAGCACTCAAAGTTCTTGAATGCCATCTAGGACTTGGACATGTTAAATAAAAATCATAGGAGGCCTTTGTTTTGAGCTAAGTTCCTGCACTAGACCTCAAAAGACCAGACTGAAAATAAAAATGGAGTTACCTCTGCTAAATTCCACCTCACCAAATCTAAACTAAGTTGTGGTTTAACCTTCCAAGAAATCAGGAAAGAGAGATAACAGCCAATTTCTCAAAGAGGGCAGTTTAAAACTTCAATTGGCATGATAATGAAGTTCCTCTGCTTTAGTACTTACACAAAAAGATAGCCTGAAGTAACCCGATGTTAAATAACCAGTTATTTTTCTATTGTTCTGGCTCCCTGTCCCCCATCTTACAAGGTAAGTAACTTTGAAATGACCAATCTGCTTTTGTTCTTTGTTTCGGCTCTCTTCAGCCTTTTCTGTCTACCTCCTCTGCTGGGCTCATTGGAACACTTTTTCTACGTTTATGGGATGGAGTCTTGCCTAACCCCAATCATGATAAAGCCAATTGAGATCCTTAAATTTCTTGTTATTTCTGTCCTTTGACAGATTTGGGGACCTGATAAGGAGACTGCTGATGACTCTGAGACCCCTTTAGGATTACAGGAAGGCACCACCAACCCCCTCTTTATGGGAGAACCACTGTCTTCATGGAGCCCTGGAAGTCGTAAGTCCCGCTCAGGTCTGAGCTCTGCTCTCCTTTGCATTTGAGTCCCTGATCTCTTTGGCTTTGGGGGTACCAAGGGTTAGTTTGCACTGTGAGAAAGCATATGACCATGGGGTACCAAGGGTTAGTTTGCACTGTGAGTTTGTACTGTGACAGGGCGTATGACCCTTGGGTTTGTAGTAGCTGATGAGTCACTGGTTTTAAAAAAGGGCTGAAGTTTTAAATGTAACTGACAGCAGTTGTGGTAAATGGCTATCACTGCAGGGGGTGTGAACTCCAGCTTTCGGAATTCACAGTTATGTGGGTTCCTTTGTTATAATGTATGTTTAGGTAAGGGAGGCCTTGGGTGTCTGAGTGGAGAAGACAGAAACTGGAAAATCATTGGCTAAATTGGTCAAGGAGATCTGGCAGCCAAAGCCATCTCAGCTCTGAGAAAACCAAGATCCAACATAAAGATGGGATCCTTTTTTTTTTTTTTTTTGGCAGCTGGCGAGTAAAGGGATTTGAACCTTTAAGACCTTGGTGTTATATAACACCATGCTCTAACCAACCGAGCTAATCAGCCAGCCCGGGATCTTAGTTTCTAAAGATCTGAGTACTCTACCTTCCAGTACATTTGCCACTTTCTTGTATGAGAATTATGATGGCCATTATGTAGAACATTCCAGATGTACAACACTGTACTTTAAGATGGATCCTTTCCTTCCCATGAACAGCAATTGCTTTCTTGTTTGTCTAGCTCTTTGTAATGAGAACTTGACTCAACTTTCTATCTGTTGGGGGCACACAATATATAGGGCCTATGTGTGCAGGCAGCCAACCAAAAGGTTGGGAGCCCCATGAATATGGCCGAACAGAAATGCTGGTTGCACCATTTTTGGCTAGACAGACTGTTGTCAGTTTTTTTTTTTTTTTTTTTTTAAAAGATGACCGGTAAGGGGATCTTAACCCTTGACTTGGTGTTGTCAGCACCACGCTCAGCCAGTGAGCGAACCGGCCATCCCTATATGGGATCCGAACCCGTGGCCTTGGTGTTATCAGCACCACACTCTCCCGTGTGAGCCACGGGCCGGCCCGTCAGTTCTTGAGGTATTATCTCTTTGGGCTATTTTTGGTAGTGGCTCTGTGTCTTGGAGAGCTAAAGTCCATTTAAAAATAAGGATACCTGGGGCCTAGCTGGTTAACTCAGTTGGTTAGAGCACTGCCTTGTACCACCAAGGTCAGGGGTTCAGACCCCCATTCCCCCCCTTCCCCCTCACTAGGCAGCTGCCAAGAAAAATAAGGACACATGAATTAGGCCCATCCAGAAGCTTCTAAAAAGATTTCAATTTTTTTATTGCCTCTTTAAAAGGCTGTTCATAGAAAATCAAACGAAAAGCTTAACCTACTAATTGACGAGATTCTACCCCAAAGGCAAAAAGAAAGCTAAATAAAGTATTTATAAAAGTTAGTTGTGCTGGCGGGTGACAGCGTGGTTAGAGCGTGGTACTGATAACACCAAGATCCAGGGTTTGATCCCTGCACCAGCCAGTCAAAAAAACAAAAACAAAAACAATACCTTCAGAGGCCGGCCCGTGGCTCACTCGGGAGAGTGCGGTGCT